AGGTGAGAAGCACACGTAGAGAAGGTCTTGGCCCTACCGCCTGCTGAGGGGATCTTCATAATGGCCACGATGATGAACAGGTAGGATACCAAGATCACCACCATGCAGGCAGGGATGACAAAAATGGCAAACACAATAATTACCACCTCTTGGGTGTAGCTATCCCCACAGGTCAGCTTTAAGAGAGGTGGAAGGTCACAGAAAATGAAGTTGATCTCATTGTCCCCACAGAAGGAGAGAGTGAAAGCTGAGACTGTCCTCACCACGGCACTGAAGAGGCCAGCAACGTAAGCCCCAGCCACAAAACCCAAACAGGCCCTATGAGTCATGATGGTGACATAAAGCAAGGGTTGGCACACAGCCACATAGCGGTCATAGGCCATGATGGCCAAGAGGTAGCAGTCAATGGAACCAAAGAAGGTGAAGAGGAAGAACTGAGCAGCGCAGCGTGTGTAGGATAAAATTGCCCCATGCTCCAGCAACACAGCCAACATTTGAGGAACAGTGACAGATGAGTAGCAGATGTCCATGAAGGAGAGGTGACTGAGAAGGAAATACATTGGGATGTGAAGCCGGCAATACATGCGGATCAGGATGATCATCCCTAAGTTCCCCAACAACGTGATGAGATAGATAAATAGAAATAGGAGGAAGAGAGAGAGTCCCCATTCAGGACGCTCTGTGAATGCCATAAGGAGGAATTCAGTCACTGAGGTGAGGTTCTTCTCTGCCATTAAGCTGGTGGGACATAAGAGGGCTCGAATGAGAAGTTAGGAAGCTATAAATAAAAATGAACTATTTCTAGTTCACATTTACTGAATATTTACTATGGACAAAATACCTAAGATATTGTGTGGGTCTTCTCAGATGACTGACCATAGCTCCTACCTTCAAAGAAGTTCATAGAAGGCAGGACACGGAAAATTGTGATAGAGAATCATCATAGTATATGATAAGAAAACAAATACAGATAAACATTTTCAGAATACAAGCACATATTCTCCCATCTTCATTGCTAACCACCCCCTAGAAGTCAGATAACAATTCTGAACCAAAATTTCCTTATTGTTTCAATAAGGGTTGATTCATGGGCTTGAGCTACTTCTAACTAATGGTGACCCCACAAGCTACAGAGTAGAATTTGTCTATAGGGTTTCTTTGGTTATAATCTTTATGGAAGCTATTCACCAGAACTTTCTTCTGTGGAGCCACTGGGTAGGTTTGAACCATCAACATTTAGGTTAGCAGCCAATCACAAAACACTTGTGCCATGCAGGGACCTTTCCAAGACCACAGCTCCTCCCTTACTTCAAACCCTCTTCATCCCTTGCCTGATTAGAACAACAACCATGTTGCTAATTACTGTCTCTGCCTTCAGACTTGCTTTCTGCCAATTCTTGCTCCTCACTGTGACCACAGTGATATTCCTAATATTTTAATTTGATCGTATCTCATATCCTTGTTAAAAATCGTACCGTGGCATCCCATCTACATTAGGTTATCATTTCGATTCCTTAGTGCAGCAGGGAGTTGCCCCCAGTGACATAGGCTTTGCCTCCTTTGTCATGCCCCTTTCTCACATCTCAATTCTTACACCCACAGCTACACCCCACCCTCCCACACTTCTCTCCAAACCCAAAAACCAAACAAGTGGTGGTGGGGTTGATTCTGACTCGTGATGACCCCATGTGAGTCAAAGGAGATTGTGTTCAATAAGGTTTCAGTGGCTGATTTTTCCAAGGTCAATCACCAGGCCTTTCTTCCAAGGCACTTCTGGGTTGACTTGAATGACCAATCTTTCCATTAACAGCCTAATGCATTAAACATTTCACCATCCAGGAATTCTACTTCTCTCCTGCCACATTGAATTACCTGCAGCTTCTCTAATTCCCCCAAGTTTTCTCACATCTCTATGATTCCTACAAGCTATCCCTTCTATCTAGAACACATTATTTTTTCCATCTCTGGGGTCCTGCCTAACTCCTATGCCACCTTCAAACCTCGATTCAGAGAGCACTTCCTATGAGAAAACTCTCCTGACTCTGCCTCCCTGTCAGGGTATACATGCCTGTGAAGCATCTCACTAGATCATGGACTGTGAGTTTAGCATAGACGAAGGGGAATGTTTTTGTGGAATACATACTGTTATCAAATGAGATACAAAGCACCTTGAAAAGAGGAAGGAACTGTACCAATGCTCAGGTGTTTAATTTAAGTTTATGAGAAGGTTTAAAACAGAACACTTTAAGAGATGTCTAAGAACTCTGTAAAATCAATGAACATCCATGAAGATCATAAACTATTCTTGGGTTTATCTCTATTCTCAACCTAACAATGTACTTACTTAACAGAAAGCTGCTGTCTTAATTAGATGACCTTAGTTTATCAAGAATAGATTTTATAAGCAGCAGCACTGTATTTAATAATAATAATAATAATAATAATAATAATAATAATAATAATAAAAACTAGTTGCTGCTAGTTGCCATTGAGCCAATTCTGACTCATAATGACCCCACGTGTGTCAGAGAAGATTGAACTTTGTAGGGTTTTTAAGGCTGTGGCCTTTTGGAAGCAGACCATCAGGCCTGTCTTCCAAGGTGCCTCTGAGGAGACTCGAACTGCCAACCTTGGCTAGTAGTCAAGCGTTTAACCGTTTACACCACCCAGGGACTCCTAGGAACCACATAAACAGCACATGTGAAGTCCCAGACACTATTCTGAGTGATTTATATATTAACTTATTTATTCCCCATAATCACCTTATGAAGTAGGAACTTTTATTATCCTAATTTTCCAGAGAAGGAAACTGAATCAGAAAGAGTTTAAGTAACATATCCAAGTCTATACAGCTAGGGAGCTCTAGTAGCATAGTGGCTAAGGCACTTAACTGCTAACCAGAAGGCTGGCGGTTCAAACCCACCAGCCACTCCTCGGAAGGAAGATGGGGCAATCTGCTTCCGTAGTGATGTTGTTGTTGTTGTTATGTGCCGTCGAGTCGGCCCCGACTCATAGCGACCCCTCCTTGGGTTTCCAAGGCAGTATCACTACGGAAGTAGGATTGCCCAACCTTCCTTCCGAGGAGTGGCTGGTGGGTTTGAACCGCCAGCCACCTGGTTAGCAGGCAAGTACCTTAGCCACTATGCTACCAGAGTAGTGATACTGCCTCAGAAACCCAAGGAGGGGTCGCTATAAGTCGGGTCCGACTCGATGGCACACAACAACAACATACAGCTAGGAAATGGTGAAAGTGGCATTAGGAACAAAATGCAGAGAGAGCACTACTTATCTTATAACAAGATTTTATGTGAGTTGTGTGGCTGTTACAACAGCCTCTAACCAGGAAGGGCCCTCCATTAAGTGAACAAACATAAATACCAGCTCTGCGGTCTATTGATATCTGAAGGCTGATGGAGTCTTTCAAGCTAATGGATACAAAGTCACTTGGCAGAGTTGCAGGGTAGAAAAGTCGAGAAGATATCTGATCATCTTGTAAACATTAGACTTTGGTAGCTAGGCCAATGTTGGGCTGATCTATTGGAGAAAATGCTAAATAAGAGAAACTGGGTCTGATTGTCATGAATTGGTCATGAACTAAGGGAACTAGACCAGTTTCCTCACCTGAGTCACATGTCACCTTTACCTGGCCAGTCCTCTTCTCTCTTTGTCCCCCATTATTCTTTTGCCTCTGAAAGCTTTTTTTTTTTCCTTGCACTGCCTGGAAAAATATCCTAAGGATATAAATAAGAAAGCCCTGATGTGGCTAAGAGGAGACCTAGTTGGTTCTTGTCCTCCTATCCCTGCTCATTTATGATGCTGAACAAGTCACTTAATATCCTGGGACCTCGGGGTCCTTACCCTTTCTTCTACACATCCTTCACAAGAAAACAGCAAACCATCATGGGATAAGTAATGCCTTAGCTCCCTGAATGTCTATCCCTGGATACTATGATCCTCAAGGGACTTGCCAGTTCTATCTATTAAGGACCCTCTTCTCTCTCTTCTCTTAGTCTATTTCCATGATCTGCTAAATCTCATTTTTGTTTAGTCTCAGTCTAGTATAGTAGACATTGGAAAACAGTCTCCTATGAGCTCCTGGCTCCAACACAAATCTCTTGGAGAAGACACTAATGGTTACTACATGAGCTCTGAGGGCTCTCTGGCTAAAATAAGTCTCTAAGGAAAGGCAATCATTGTTCACGTGGGTTCTTAACAAGGCATCTGATACCTGTAATGTGGCAAGAGAGATGACTCCCTCTCAGCCCCCGTCCCCAAAGCCCCACTCCGTACGTATGTCTCAAAGGCCTGAATCCCAGTTCTACATGCTCCCAGAGAAGTTAGGTGTCTTTGGCTTTAATTTCTCCAGTCACAATAATATCATAAATTGTGCCTGTTGCCACTGTCACCAGTGTGGTCAGATTCTGGATGTAGGGTGTTTTGTAAACACAAGGCTTTGTCCATGTTATCCAGAAAGGAAGTGTGGGGCACAGTGACTCAAAACACACCGTATCTTCTAAGTTTACCCTTCCTGGTATGAGGTATTTCATTGTCTTTTTTGTTTTTTCCTTTAAGTGCAAATGAAACCATAGGGATAACAAAAGTCTGGGATGTTGCCCAGAGGATAAATTGGCAAGTTCTTGTTATCCTGGTCTTCACCAGCTCTTGGCATCATTGACGTTGCACCATTTCTTCAGCCCCCAACTCATGGGCATTTTGTTAAAGTATTACATTTCATCATGTCTCAATTTAGAAAAGGATATGAGGAAGATAGGGAAGAAAAGAATAATCGTTCTCTTTGATAATTATGAGAACCAAGAGAAAATGGGACCACCTATTCACTCATTCATCACTGTGCTGAAGTTCTAAAGGAAGAGCAGGAGATAAAGAATGGAACAAAGCACCTCAAGAAGAACACACAGTGCCTGCAATAACCAATATACAACTAGTGGTTGTTGTTAGGTGCTATTGAGTCAGCTCTGACTCATACAATCCAGTCAGCAGAAAATTAACCATCCTAGAAGACCCACCCCCACCACCCACTGCTGTTGAGTCCATTCAGAGTTCAACTTTGCTCCTTAGGGTTTTCAATGACTTATTTTCTGGAGGTAGAACTCTAGGTCCTCCTTTTGAGATGCTCCTGACCAGTTAGCAGCCTGCACATTAAGCAATTGTGCCACCCAGGGACTCCTCCTAAAACATCAATATTAAACCCTTAAACCAGGTGTAGGTAAGGTGCTGTGTGGATTCACAGTAGGGCAAGATTACTCACAGGTAGGATCAATTAGAGCAAGCTTTCCAGATGAGGTGACTTTGATAAGTCAATTTGAGCAAAAGTGGGTTTGGGGAATGATGGACAAAGCTCTTCCAGAAGAGGGAGGAGCACGAACAAATGCCCAGAGGCAGGAGAGCTCAGGGAGTATCCCGGGATAATGAGGAGGACTTTGGCAGCGGCACAGGATGTTACTAGGCGAAGTAACCAGAAACCTCAGTAAACAAGATAAATACTATTTTCATGTGAAATTTTGAAATGGTAAACATTGTTTCATGTATTTTCTCCCCACAATTAAAAAAAAAAAAAGTAAATAAATAATACAATGAAAACAAGCAAACAAACAAAATGTGATTAAACACCTAATCAGGCATCATAACCCCTCAAGGCTCAAAAGGAGGGAGTAGCCAATACTGGAGAGCCTTTACCAATTTGAACAAGGGAAAACTTTCTCCCAGATAGAAC